GGCCGCCCCGCACGTGGCCGCCACTTGTCACCGCGGCGCCGCCCCCGTGCGCCAATGGCAACGCGTGCGGGAGCGCACGAACACACATACACAAACACACAGACAGACAGACACGGAAATTAGTATTCGCGGGGAATTAGTATACGCGGGGATCGGCGCTCGGATAGATCCCAAAATTGTTCTATTCGATTTCGGAAAGCGATAGAATTGCGCGGTGGGGTTGAAAATTGTGAGCGGAAATTCTATTGATCAAATAGATGTGCGCGGTGGGGTTGCTCTTAGAGTCTGCTGTTGTTGCCATTGACCCTGTCTCTCATGCCTAGCTTCTAGAAAAGCTCGTTTTGCGGACCTCAAGTGCGATAAGGCATTGCTCACATCGCACTCCACACCCAGACTCTCCAAAGACCCAAACAACCTTGCTAGCACTACAGCACTCGGTACGGCCCGCCTCTCCGTAATTTCACACTCGTCTTCTGCCACAGAATCACCCATCATGGCATCACTGGCAGACTGATTCTGTAGCTCTCCACCATAATGTATTGAATCGCAAGCATCACTAATAGAAGCTTCTGCCACAAGCTCATTAGTCTCGATCTGAATCCATTCCTCCACATCTTTCCTGCGGAATTCTGCAGTTTCTGCAAGGCCGTCTTCTGGCACCAGGCTCAGTCGGAGAAACCCTACTACACTATCCACCATATATTTATCAATTTCTGTTTCATTTCGACCAACTTTCCGACCTGCAGCAGATGCCCAACCTCGATTTTCTGTGCAATCGTAAGGCGCGTACGCTTCGCTTTGGCGATCTTTTCAGGATTCATGTTAGGGTCTTTGAGTGAGGTGCTATCACGTCACCAAGTGAGCTGAGGCGCATGAGGAGTGGCCGATGACGACGTCGTGCATGACACGTGGCAGAACCTGTGTCTGCCGGTTTTGGCGGCACTAATTCGGGGGTGGCAATAATGAAAGCGGCACTATTGCGCGTCACCCCCCCCTCTGTAATGATAAACAGCCACTCTTCCACTGGCGCAAAATTATCTCTGAGTTCTGAACAGACCCATCATCGGCACATCATGTGTGAAACGTTCCATGGAAGCTTGGCGGTAACCGCATGGGCAGCTCAGCGCGTGCGACCTCAGTCATAGTGCGAGCGTCCAGAACGAGTAAGGCAGAGCTATCCTTCAGGTTGTCCAATGCCAGCACGACAAGACAGCCCGCATCCACTTCAATACCATTCGGGTCTGGGACAAAAATGGGTTCTCCCAAAGTCTGTTGCGGTGCAACATAAGACTTGACGATTCCGGTGTCTACATCCACTTTTCAATACTACCGTTAAACTGCTCCCGCCGTTATTGGAAAGACCGTACACATATTGGCATGCTCCTTCCCGTATTCTTGGCGAGACTGCAGCGAACTCCAAGGCTATATCCATCAGCACCCGAGATGATGCCTTTGGCATAGAGGTCGAGTATCGGGCGCCGTCATCAGCTATGTTGGGGAGTGTGGATCGCACGGGTATGGCGTGGGCTATGTCGCCTCCCCGCACTATATTTTCTATTCGGAGGTCTTGCAGAATTTTGCAATCGTTGAGCAAGGACAGATCAATCATGACATGGCCGTCCTGCTATAGCTGATGGCACGAGGGTGCACTATTGACGGGTACCTACTGTACCTAGATCAAATCGCGCACGTGTGCTCTCACAGGTAGAATTTGGTTTCACAGTTTTTTGCCGCGTGGCATCTCGCATTCAGTGCAGGGAAAAGATTGGAATGAGGACAAGTGAGGAATACTGTACGTGAAGCTATTCCACACTACCCTTCAACAGATTATTGAAACTACTCATTTGCACGTCCGGTAGAGAACAGACAGATCGCAGTCAGACACTCTTTCCGAGATGAAAGAAAGCATCAATTTGTTTGGTAAAGAGTCTTGGCGTGTATGTCGTCACCCGTGTAGATCCTTTTCATACAACAGGAGCTTCATGCGTATTACACCGAAGTTCTCTGTGCAGTTTGCACGTGAAAGCCGGGTAACGCATGCGTATCCCAAACATGGTCACTACATGTCGGAATGAACTGAAGTGATCAGATAGTCTGAAGCTCACTGCTAATTTGCGGATAGGTTTCAATGCTTTTGATCTTCCTGTCGTTCTGCATCTTGCAGTCTGTTACTGACAATCGGCCGCACATGAGTTGACCGTCTTCTGAAATTTGGTGTCCTCGATAGAACTATAGCCTCCTTTTTACTGCCCACTGCGCAGTACTATTGCTATTCGTCAAGGACGACTGTTGTGCATGGTTATGCACCAGATATGGTGTACCGTATTCTAAGGGAAATAATCCTCATTCTCGCCGTCACTCGTCGATTCGCTGGAATCCACGGGTGCGGTAGTGTCACATGTTGATCTACTGAACTTGGTGGCACATGCACGTCGTAGATCGTTCTCATCCTGTCCTTTATCACGGTCATCCTGTGAAAAGTACGCCCGCCCAAGTTCAATAAACCACACCCTCCAGATCACTACTCCCTTCTTATCCATCTCTCGTCTCACCCTCATGTTCCGCGTGCCGATGTCCATGTGTCGCAATCCAGTCTCGTGAAGCTCTTTAAGTGCTTCGTGCGCCGCTTGTGTTAGCAATTCACTATCTCTGCTGTCAAGCACAACATTCCCACACCTCAACACTTCATTGAGCCCGTTTTCGTTCGTTTCCATGCTCAAAGATTCTCCCACATGCTCTGTCACAACCACTGTGTCCGTTTCCGGTTCCTTCCAAAGCGCCACTACACGCGGTAACACCGTCCCCAACAAGTGTGGACATGTATCCGCGACTTCTTCGTATACCCCAGCCTCGTTCACGATCATATCTAATCCTTCTTGGCTAGCGCAGTTCCAGTACTTCACGGCTACTTCCATGTCACCATTCCAGCTCCGCAACACCGTCGAGTGCCCGTCCGTCGTGATGATGTCATCTGAAGCCTCCATTAAACGGCGGATCAGTTCTGGCTGATATAACTGTGCTGCATCTTGTTCAAAAAATGCGCTGTCCTGGGTTTTCGGACGCTTATGTCTGTTCTGGATACATGCTGCCGTATTTGCAGCTTTCGTCCCACTACGACCAGATGTCGCCTCAGTGACACGAGAGCCCAGCCCTCTTGTTATCATCTCGGGTTTCAAAACGTTGCGACTACTTTCATTGGTCCCAGAGCTTTCACGCGGGTTCTTCCTCAGGCGAGTCTTCTGAAAATCATTGAACGCTGCTTGCAATTCATCGCTGCTGTTGGAGCTTGTCTCACATTCGCGGAGCATCGCGATGATGGCATGAAACGAGGATTCGTCCGCGTTACATTTGTAAAACCTGGAAACCTCAACCTGCAGTTTCCATCCGCTCCTCCCGCTGTGCGCTCCAACCTTCATGAAGATGGTGTCGTTGTGGTTTGTTAAGAAGACGCACCCATTCTTCGTGTGCATGGCGTGTATCAAAGCCTGCGACATCATGCTGACGTACCAGCTCTTCCCCTCTTCTTTGTATCCGTCATTGTGCGTGGCGGCAACATGTCCTGAAGAATTCTCCTGGACGGGAGTTGGAGTGAGTGGAATTGATGGCCGCTTCAGATCTCCTACCACCAGAATGATTTGTTCTTGATTCTTGTTCTTACTTTCCGAAAACATAAAGCCTGGAGACCGACGAAATACCAAATCAATCGGTGGCGACCCACCATAGCGGAACAAAGACGATGGTATGCGCTCGTTGTGACCAGCGGTAACCAATGTTTGCTTGTGGTCGAGCTTTTCGTAAACACGAGCCACAGAACAAGAAGCATTCGAAACAATATGCAACGTATCAGTCTCTGTGGGTACGATGTAACTCTCTGTCAATTGCTGTCTAGCTCCAATGAACATTGCCCCAACCTCCAATCTCTCGGTTTCGGGGAGGGAAGCGATAAGAATCTTGGAGTCCCTGCATGCAGCTTTTACCTTGTCGTCAAAGTCGGACCAAGCGATGAATCTTGTCCGTTCAAGTAAAATCTCAATCATAGTGTGCCCGGTGCTCGAATGCCCCGTGTAGACGGATGAGACGAGCAGAGGAGTCGGCGGAAGCTGCAAGTTGGCAAAGCAGTTCTCATTCTGTTCTCTAGACCAAGAGCGTAATGTGTCATTTATGGGGGGGCACGGATACGCCATACCCAAGAAAGAACTCTGAAAGCAATATTTCGTCCAGAACTGTCACTTGGGTGATCCTCAGAACGTTCACGGGATCAGGCCTGTCTTAAAAAGGCGGACAAACGTCTACCCGCGTATGTCCGCTTCTGCCCTTGCGCCCGCTCCGTTGAACACGGATCGTTGTTCATAAGTCAATAGATTTGGGTAGATCCAAAAAGAAGCGCACATCGCTGGTTCCAAGGCGCGAGAGCAGCCCTGCTTATTCCAATTGCGTATAAATTCAGCTCTGCTGGGGAGCCGGTGCGAAAAACGGTGAGATACTACAGGGGGGTACCCTATTTAGTGCTACCCCGTGTAGCGTGATAAAATAGGCACTAAATCGGGTTTGGCACAAGAACGGTAACTTAACAAGAAGACTGAATATAGTATTTAACTATGGAAACCCGTCAAGGTCGTCTGTTTCTGCTTCTTCTATGGCTTGAGAGCCTCAAATATGATGCGTCTAGCCTTGCGCAAATGTGAAGACGCATCAGGTAGCGAGAGAGCTACCGCTGCCGCCTCTAATTTTGAGAACTCATTCGCTGCTTCGATCAAAGAGAGAGAACGAGCCTGACTAGCATTAGAAATCTCCTCCATCACTGTATCTGTATGCTCTGCTTCAGTTCGCCCAGATGAAACACACCTAGACCCATCCATTTCCTCCATAATTCTCTCCACCTCTTCTAGAGCTTCTGTTTCCATGGCCTCTCTGACTTCACTTGAATCCTCTACCATATCCCAACCATTAATATTACTTTCATTTAACGTAGCAATATCAGCGGCATCCCTTTGGTCATTAACATTGCTCACATTTGCATTTTTTGCCTGGAGAGATAGGCCCGACATATCTGTGTGCGAGCAACGCATTTGTGCCTATCGGAACTGTAACGGACACAGAAAATCTACCAGTTTTCATATCTTAGTACCAAGCAGAGTGGTGCCCTGTAGCCCGCTGGATGGGCCCGGGGGGCACTTGTTTATCATACCTTTTGGTGTAGAGCCGTTAGAGTAGCACTAAACCGGGACATACACTATATATAGAGGCACTAAATCGGGTACCCCCCTGTATAATGAAACGGGGCAGCAGCAAAGAGGTGTTTACAGCGGATGCTGTCTTTGACTACTGTAATGCTTGAGACTGAACTCCAGAGTGTGAGGGCCGTTCCTAACGAAGAGAACGGTGTGCTAGCACGCGAGGGCCAAAACCCGCACACTGGGATCGGGAGCCGTTGACGGCTGACGTCAGCAGCTTGCCATTGTCCACGAACCAGGCCTCGGTGGACTTCACCAAGTTCACGTCGTCATCGGTAATATTCAACTCAATCATGTTCTCCGGAGATAACAAAACCACGCTGTACGAGGTCTTGAATCCACGGTCCTTGAAGCCAGCTGGGGCCCACTCGTCGTCACCCAAGTCTACTATTTCAACCGGCGTGTAAATGCTCCCCGGATCGTATCCAGTCGGGTCGAATCCGCCCGCTAATACCTCCTTAGAATCCGACCCGAATTCTACGAGAAGGTCGGCGGCTGTAAGAGCTAGAGTCACTAGTAGTATCAGCCACTTGAAGTTGGGGTCTCGGGAGTCCTCCTCTGAGACTAATGAGCTCCGAGTAAACTTCCGAGTAGTAAGTTGGGCCTGCTCGCCCGAACCTAGCCGGGACCCGGCCCGATATGCTACGCTTGCTGACCACAACCTAGACAATACGGTTGTGATGAGCAAGCTTATGAATGAAAACCTGACCATGTTCCACGTTGGGACCCCTATAGTCAGTTCCGGAATCACTGCGCGCGCGTGAGAGAGTGAAGAAGGTGAGAGTTGTTTGAAATCAGGTTGCGGTTCGACTCTCGCTGCTTATCTACTGTCTGGTACTGTTAATAGAAAGGGCTTCTCGGCTCCTTCATGGCGGCGATGTCGTGCAGACGCTTTTTTCCAGCAGACTACTGTATTCATAGGTTGGTGAACATGACCATGTTGGCGAAGAGACGTTTCAGACACTCTCAAGTCTTGTTCACGCTTGAAAGGCTACCAATAACAAGTACAGTCCAGTACAGTTTTCAGGCGGTCAGACATAGCCTGCTCCGGGCGCTACGAAAAAGGCAGTTCAGGGTTTTGCTCTATTCACGCGTGCGCAATTTCACCTCGCATGCGATGAGGGAAAGGTGGGTGCAAGGCAAAAAGTCAATCAGCACAAGATGCTGGGGCGCCGCTCCCTTTTCTTTTTCTCGCTGTCTCTGCTACGCTCTCGCCCTTCAAAATCCCGCTGGCCTCTGCGCGCATCGCTTGTAAATCGCTGCTGTCCCCTCTCCATCGCTGCTGCACGTCCTTTCGCCCAGACGCTTTTTTTCGCTCTAGTTCCCTAGCCAATATCTCTCGCTGTGCTGTGGCGTTCCTTCCGCTCTTCCCCGCGATTCTCCACGCTGGTCGCATTTGCTGACATCGCTTCGAATTGCTTGTTTTCTGCGTCCTTTCGCGGTCGGGTGTAGACCTCGGTATGATGATCAACCTTAACGTCAGCGCTCGTGCCGACAGTCGACATTGGAGTTGTTGCCAGCAATGCATGTTCGGTTCCGATTCCCCGATCTCGTTTCACGACAGTACAGTACAAAACTGACAACAATGCATGCTGTATTCGGACATTGACGAGCTACTGTAAAGCTTTAAATGTATCTGCCTGGACCCGTGCGGTCTGTGGAGATCCCTGTGGTCGCAACGTTTGAGACGGGCCGCTGTCGTCTTGATGTCAAGTGTCAACACGGCCTAAGGCCGTGTTTACATCCCTCAGATCATTTCGCTACTCGTTACAGCACAGTATTGTAACGAAAATCGTAACATTACACGAATTTGGTTTGACAACCATTGGTACTAAAACGAAATGCTACGGCCCTCTCCGATGTCGTCAAGTGCATCGGACCGCATCTCGAGGGCCAGAAAATCTCTCGTTACATGTTTCACTCGAAGCGCCAACACCCTGGTTTTCTTTTTAGTCACACAGTACCCTTGAAGGGTAGTGGTCGGATAACTTGGGAGGGATGCGTTCTGTTTCCATCGGGGGTGGCGGAGGCTCGTTGAAGTCGAAGTGAAAGTCCCCGGTCGGAACGCGTAGTGCGGCCAGTTGGGCCACTGCTCTTACATTGGGCTGGAAGTGAAGCAACACTACAGAAGTAAAGAGGCCCCCGGCGCGTAACAAAACCTTGTAACATGAGCGTACCACGTGGTCTTGCCTTTTTTGCTTCGGACAGTGTTACGCTCGCCATTTTTGCTACCCAGTAGTTTGGGTATGACAGACCGCACACGTGTAGAGATGACAAAAGCAGCATAAATAGGAAACTGTGGAAGGCGAGACTAAAGAAAGGAGGAGCATCGTTCCCACAGGTTATGAGCCCATACGCCCACGACAGCGATCAAATCCTCACCACCCCCTACCACCTTTCCCCAGCCACCACGGCTTCCTCCACCACTAACCGACTCCGCCGCTTACAACGCCGCACAGCACAAGCCGAAGCAACCGCAGAAATACAAGAGCTACTCCGCCTAGCTAACCTCAATCAATCAGACGACCACTGCCCACTCGACTCAACAAAGAACGCCATGGACAACCACAGCAGCAAGATCCAGCTCGCAACCCTCGACCCTGACAATCATAACACTTAGAGCCTTGCTCTCCGTGCACAAGCAGCGGCTATGGGAGCTCAAGCACATATCACCACCAATCCTCCTCCCCCGACAGATCCCGCCGCCCTAAACACACACATCAGACACAAAAGCACAATATTGGCTTCAATCCTCGCCTCTGTTCCCCAATCGATCCTTAAACTCCTCATCGAACCCGATTCCAACCCAACTCCCCACGATCTCATCCAAGACATCCACAAACACCTGGACACAAACACTTCCGAAGACCACAAGTTCTTGAAATCACACGCAGAATCCACCATCCTAACCCCTGACATGTCGATCACTGACTACTTCACAGCCCACAAAGCCATCCGATCAAAAATGATCGCATCTAGATTCTCTGATATTGGTGATCAATCTACCACGGCTGAGTTTCTGATAGACGGTATGCGTCACCACCCCACCACCGCTGAAATCGGCAGACAACTACTCAGCTTAAACCCCAAGACGATCAAAGATTATTTGCATAAGTATATGCGAATCCGAAACTACAATGCCTTCACTCGCAAATACCCGGACTCCCACCTCTGGGAAACAGCACACAACGATGAATTGGACAATCTCGACAAAAACGGAACTATCAAATGGATTCCAACCGAGCAACTCCCGGATATCGCAGACCTCATCCCGTTAATGATGACCTACCGATATAAACGGTCAGATGATGGAAGCATCAGAACGCGAAAAGCACGATGCGCAGCACGCGGCGACCGCATGACTCCACACAAACACTACGATCCATTACAAACCACGTCATACATGGCTGAGAAGGCAACCATACGCACAGTAATCGCCATCTCAGCCGCCTTCAACCAGCCCTCAGAAACGTTCGATATCACCGCCGCCTACCTGCACGAAAAATATAACCACGATCAACCAGTCCACATCAGACAGCACCCAAACTTCAACGGATCCTACAAGCATCCCGGCAAACAAGGCATCTTAATCGGCAACTTGTATGGGACCCCACCTGCCGCCCACACCTACCTCACCCAGCTCACCCTTTTCCTCACATCGAAAGGCTACACCCAATCACACCATGATCCCTGTATGTTCTTCAAACTAACACACAACACAAACGTCATATTCACAGTGAGTATGGACGACTTGTTTGCCACGGCCTCCAACCAAACACTCCTCAACGATCTCTACTCCATCCTCGCCACCAAGTACCAACTCAAGCGCTTTCACGACCCCACGATGTTGCTAAACTGGCGTCTTCAGCGCAACTTTGATGTAAGCATGCACATCTCCCAGCCTCACACAATCAAAGCTATCCTCACCAAACTTGATCTCACCGAATGCAATCCAAAACCCACACCTTATATGGTCAACAAAAACAAGCTTAACACCCGAACTTCAACGCCGCTCCCCGCCAAACAGCACGCTCTATACAGGCAAATCATCGGAGATTTACATTATGTCGCCGACTCGACAAGACCAGACATCTATCATGCAACAAACTGTTGTCTACGTCCATGCATAGCCCCTCACAGCATGACTGGTCGGGTCTGAAGCGTTTGATGAGATACCTCAAGCACACCATGTCACAGGGAATCCACTACTCCAACAATAACACCCCATTGCAAACCTACGCTGACGCGGACTTCGCAAACACTGCCGATCGCAAATCATACTCAGGAATCGTACACACATTAGGTCGCTCTCCAATTGACTGATCATCAAAGAAACAATCCGTCATCGCGCTATCCACGTGCGAATCCGAGTACATTGCGGCAACATGTGCAGTGCAGCAAACTGCATGGCTACGCAGAGTTCTACAGGACCTTCAGCTTTTCAGCGACGACCCCACTCCTCTGCACGTCGATAATCAAGCGGCCATCCAAGTCGCCCAAAACACAGCACCGACCAAAAAGCGCAAATACATCGACATCAAGCACCACTATATCCACGACCATATCAAGAAGGGAAGCATCGTCATCCGGTACATACCCACCCAACATCAGCTCGCCGACCTCTTCACGAAGCCACTCCATGGCCAGCGGTTCACAGAACTCACGCGCAAGCTCAATATCATCGCTCCCACCCCCCAGCATCGCGCAGTACTGGCGAGAGGGGGGCTGACAGACCGCACACACAACACCCATCACTCGCCAATACTGCCTGCAATGCAACTCTGACAGACCGCACACGTGTAGAGATGACAAAAGCAGCATAAATAGGAAACTGTGGAAGGCGAGAATAAAGAAAGGAGGAGCATCGTTCCCACAGGGTACAAGTGAAAACAAGATGTCGTAACGTAACGAGTACAGTAGCAACTTTATTTGAATACAGATGTACAGTACCCTTCGAAGGGTACAGTACCCAGTTGGTACTGTACCCTTGGGTACTGTACTACCAACGGTACTGTAGTCGTGCACTCTACCTCCGCCGGTCTCGGCCGCAGGCTGGCCACGTCGTGTGCTTGAGCTCATCCTACTGCAGTACAGTGTAACATTCTTGGAATGTCGTCCGACATTGTTGTACAGTATCCAAACATTCGATCATGTCAATTTGCATTGCTGCCTTCAACGACCCTGGTATCCTAGTACCCTTCGAAGGGTACTAACAAATGCCGGTGAAGGCTTGGCGTTTCCGCGGAACAGCTGAACACCATCAGTACTGCTCGGGGCACTCTTATGACCGAGAAGAAACGCAGCCAGAGCGAAAACTAACCGATTCCTGAACAAACCTAGCTTATTAGCGCTTGTCGAGACCTTCGAACTGCGGACGTACTTCTCTCCTGGTTTACCTACCGGACAGTGTTGTGCTTCTGCTTCACTATGACGACAGCAGAAGCTTCAGAAGGGGCGTCATGCTTGGAGTCCCAAGATGAACAAGCGCAGGGATCTGACACAAATGCCTCCGAAGAGCGAGCTACCGGGCCCCAGAACCAAACGCAACCTCCTGCAGAAGATATACCATCTACGACACGAGAGCGATTCATGGTCAACAGAATTATTTATCTTGGAATGATATCCTTTGTCAGTCCATTCATAAACTTTGCCTTACATTGGGAGGGGGTGAAGAGCATGGGCATCACTTTCGGTCTGATGTTGTGGCTTATGTTTGGTGTGATGTGGTGTGGAGGGTTTGCGGGTGTGATGGGTCCGATGTTTACCTTTTTTGCTACCGTAGTCCAACAGCTGGACGTCATTCCTGCCTTGGGCTCTTCGCTCTGGACCGTCATAAGTACTTTTGTTATGGTTGCTGTTGTGCGAGATCCTTTCCCGGCTTTTCTTCACAATCTTCCGCTATTCAGTCTAGCGATTGCCAACGCCGCTCTGCTTGGACTTCAAGTTCCCCGTGATTTTTCGAATCGGGCGTCTCATGCCACGTCTCTTGCCGATTCCCGTGCCATCGGGCAAGTTATGGGTTTTGTTGCATACAGATTTCGAGAAGGCAAACTCGAATGCGTAACTTCTCGTGGATCAGAAATTCGACACTGGTGTTTCACTTTTCATGCTATGTCCACTCCAGACCAAGCAAAGGAAGTTCATAACGGTATAGTTGAGAATGGATACTCGTTTATTAATGGTCGTAACTTGAATCTGTTCAGAGATGTGTTCATTGCCTGGAGGCGTCAAGCACAATCGGTTGTTGAACGAGTAAACCGTCGTCGAATCTTCTGTCTCGCCGGCCTCCTATGCGAATCGGTGGCTGTTATTGTTGTAATCTCGCTGATTGGGAATATACAGGGTTCAGGTTCAAACATGTTCGGCTCATTTGAAACAGCTTCTAGCACTTCCGGCATTCCGTATTTTACATCACCGCTGGAGTTCTCACTTCTACAAGTTGTTTTGTCTGTGATTGTAATATGCTTCAGCGACTACTTGTACATCCTCGTTAATATAAGCCGCTCAGTAACTTGCGAGACCGAAGTGCGTGCGATCATGTTGCATTGTGTTTCGTCACGGTGGTTCAATTGGGCCGGTAGCGATTATAGCTACTTGGAGAACGGCAGAAGGCTTCGCGGACTAAATATTCATTTCGATGAAGCGTCCATCCCGGTGAAAGAACTACCACTACTAGGTTTCTTCGGTGACCAAGACGAGAGTGAGCGGTGCAATGCGACGATTCTGACAAATGCTGCAAACTCCAAGCAGATCTTGATACGCCGTGTTGGTGAATCGTTGCTTCGTGCAAGCTTGTACAATGGTGAGGCCGACCGACAGACCTTGCTAAATGAGAAACTTGAAAATATAGCAATAGAAGTAAGCGACCGTATCGTGTAATGACAACTTCTTTGAGTCATAAGGAACCTTGAGTTTCTTGTGTTTTCGTAAAATTGAATAAAAACGTCGCACCTCACGCATTGAATCCATCGCATTCAGGATCAGCTATCGTTTACTAAAATAATATGCTCAACACAAGACTGATACGAATATTACTTCATATCTTGTGAGGTTCCTATCAACACCTTAAACAAATTTATCAACAAAAGTCAGTCCTGTTGACAGACCAGTTGAGTGTATAAATGGTGTGACAGGAAAGATCGTGCTTTGATTTGAGGTTGTTATTATATAGCTTATCCTTATCCAGCAACGAAAGAAAAGAACTTGTGCACATCGCGTCAGGCAATCTCACTTGAAAATTTTTACTCGCCACTTGAAGACATCAATCTACTGCGGAGCACGTGCCGAAACAACCGTTTTCTTTGCGGACACAATCGCAGGCATGCGGCTATCCTTCATACCTCCTCTTCTGATTTGATACCAGAGTCGACACAATGAGGTACCCTTCTGTGAAAAGGGGGTACTGGTGCTACTGCTGCTTCTGTAAATGTACCAACGAAGAGTGGATTGCAGCGAGCAGTTTATGCATGTGCACATAATTTCAAGACATCTTTTCACATATGGGCCTTGGAACAAAACTCTCCTCGCGATGAACTTAACGCCCCCTCCAATATGTCAACCCTCGCCCGTGCAACCGGAAATACAAAACTATCAACTGCTTACCATAAGATATGGCTCACTCGACACAGTTTCAGATCTTATTTATCGAAAGTAGAGATGCACAAAATCCAACAAAACATGACTTCTTCTGAGAATATGAGTACTTCTGGCATCCAGCTTGAGCCCTCAATCCGTAGTTCCTCACTGATTCTCTTACAAGGAATTCGTTATTGATTTGGCAGCAGCGGGAACACGTCGCAAGAGCAAAAGGCTTAGTTGGATTTGCGTTGCGGAATGTGTAAAAGGAATATGTTTACCGAGAGGAGAAATGAAAATGTTTCTAGCTGAGATGCGTGCGCGGTTGAACATGTTCGAAAGAAAGATGAACATAGACGAGACGGGGTTGGTGAGGAGAGGAGAGGAAGAACAATAGAAATACATTCCAAATACACCAAAAAGGCAATAGAAAGAAAGCGGAAAGAGAGCAGAAGGAAGGCAGAAATAAAGCAGAAAGGAAGTAGAAAAAAAGTAACTAAATAAGCTACGACTCTTGCCTCGGGCCAACTTAGTTGGGCACCGAACCAAGTTGGGCACAGAGTGTCAACTAAATCAGTAACCTGGTGACCATTCCGCCACGAACTCCTTTCTCCCAAACAGCGGACTCTGCGGGGATAGAGTGGGGATAGCAACGGTATGTAAAGGTATGCATTCGTTCTCTTTATCAACATTGCGTATATAAAGTCTCTCCCCCCCATTCTCGGAGATGTGCAAACACGCTCCACTCCTTCCCCGTTCGTCGCGCCTAGCCCCTTGAAATTGCCACGTGTCCAGCCAAGGCCTGAAATTTCCGTCCTCACCCTCGCTGCCGCACGTGCGGCACTCGCTGCACCTTCGTCAGTCTCGAGTGCCACACTCGCTGAGGCCCGCTCCCTTGTCCGCACCGTTGGTAACCCCATCCGCCTTGACCCCCGCACCGGTGAGCCTGTTCCTCCGCCCCCCGCAGTCACCGCGTACGGAATCGCCCCGGATGCTCAGTCAGCAGCCTTCCCGTCATTTGGAGTGGCGCAAGCCACCCTCCGACGAGGAGCCACGCTCGCTGGAGTTGTGCTCCCCCCTCATGTCCTCATACCTGGCGTTGCACATTGGACATACGTGTATTTCTTCGCCGCAGCCACACCAACTCTTGCCCGCATCATCGCTCATCTTCAATTGATTTATGAAGACCTCATCATCAATAATGCTCCCATCCCAGCCGCCGTCTGTGAAATAGATCCCTCCGCTGCTGCAGGAGTCGCCTGCCGCCTCACCCGAGAGGCTGCCCGTCTGCTTAACCGCCGTACTCCTACCGCGGTACCGATGCCAGTCCGAGCCGCTCTAGCGATCACCCTCAGGGGCCACGCTCACGCCATCAGGCAACATCTTCCTCGTGCACACTCTGACGTCCCCGCCGTAGTCCTGCCCACAAATGTGCTGCCCACCACCGCTGCTGCACTTCCCAAACCATCCGCAACCAACAAGATCCCAAATGCAGCCCGTGCCCCCCGGTCCCCCTTAGCCTCTCTTCCTTCTCCGGAACCCAGGCCAAAGACCGCCTCTTCTTCTACTTCTTCTATTGCTCCCACCGAAGCGCAACGTCCCCGGTCCCCACATCCCCTCAGATTTCCTCCTGATGCCATCCCGTCTCCATCTTCACCCCTTGCATCCTCTGATTGCCCTACTGTTCGTCCCTCCTCTGCTCAACGTCGTGCCTCCATCGGCACGTCCCCTGCAACTAGCCTTTCCCCCTCACTCGCCGCCTTCCCAAGCCGCCCACCAGCCTCCCCGACACCAACAGTCCCCCCAGCCTCTCCACCACCCGCCAACCTCCGCAAGCGTCCGCTTTCTCACTCCGCCAAGCTACCGCCTCCCCACCGGCCTCGCCGCTGCTCCGACTCAGCTCATGCAGGCTCAGGTGCCACACCCACCTCGCCACAGTGAGTAGCCCAAGCCAACCCCCAACCTTTTCGTGCTCTACTCCACGCCGGTGTCCCCCTCGCCACGACCCCCTGAGCCCCTCTCCGACCCTTCCATCCGTAGACGAACTGCTCCTATGCCCCATTCGCTCGTCCCAAATATATTCTGCTGTCCCCGCCCCGTGCCTCCACAGTCTGACGCTCCTCCTCATTAAGCTGGTCCGGGCAGCCGCAGCCACCACTGACCCCCGGGAGACCCACAACGCATTCCTTTATCTCCATCTCCTGCCCACAGTCGTCCTCCGCCGCTCGTTTCGAGGCGAACGAGGTTGGCGAACAAGAACTGGGCAGCACCATGCCCTCCGGGACCGCATTCGCAGGGCTACATCGGGACGCCAATGGCCCCAGCTCTGGCAAGAGGCCCTTGCCGCTCGCCAGGCGGAGCTTGATTGGCACGTGCGTCATAACAAGAGGCGCCCCTGCTCTGACCCCTCTCGGCGCCGTATCAGTCGCGCAATGAGCTTGGCGTCAGATGCACAGTACGGACGCGCGATGCGCTCTCTCACGGACAAGCCATTAGCAGACCTTCAGCAGAGAACAACGCGCACCACCCTCGAGACCCTCCACCCCTCCCCGGTGCACCCGACACAAGCGCTCCCACCGACCGCCCTTCCACCACCGCCAGACATTACAGAAACCGAAGTCCTGCGCGCCGCACGATCCCTTAATCCCAGCTCCGCCGCTGGACCCGACCACCTCTCGCCACGTCTGCTCCAACTTCTCGCTCGCACTACAGTGAGCCCAGAATCCGGTGTCACAGGGCTCTATGTCCTGACCCGCTTGGTGCGTCGTCTCGCCCGAGGTGATATACCTGACAGCACTGCTCCTCTACTCGCCGCGTCAACCCTCATTCCTTTGCAACCAAGACCAGACAAGATCAGACCCATCGCCGTGGGGCAGGCGCTTCGACGTCTAGTCACAAAGGTCCTGCTACCCGCCGCTCTCGATGACACACGCGACCTTCTGTCCCCGGAACAGCTTGCCAATGGCGTCCCGTCCGGTATGGACGCCATTGTGCATGACTGTCGCATGCTCATGACGAGGCACGGTCGCGATCCCCAATATGTCCTCGTCTCGGTTGACGCCACAAATGCGTTTAACACCTTTAGTCGGCAGTCCATGCTCGACCGGATGCCGATTGAAACGCCAAGCCTTGCACATTTTCTCAACCTCATCTATGGACGCACTGTACCCGACCTCGTCCTGCCATCATGTCCCCGAACCCTGCTAAAAAGCCGGCAAGGCACCCAGCAGGGAGACCCCGCCGGCATGCTCCTGTTCTCTTTGGCCGTACAACCTCTCATCCGCCGCATCAGCAGGGACTGCGACCTCCTCCTCAACAGATGGTATGCTGACGACGGAACCCTCATTGGCACGATACAAGAAGTCAAGAAAGCGCTAAAAATAATTCAAATTTTTGGCCCCAGCATTGGTTTCTCCATGAACGTCTCCAAATGTCGGGCCTTCTGGCCCACAACTCAGCCCCCCTCCTCGAACTCTTGACCCGCTCTTTTCCCCTGTCCGTCTCGCCAGGGGGAGGTATTGTAATTTTAGGCGCCCCGCTCGGTACTGATGATTTTATCAGAACCAATCTGGATACCAAAAACAAGTCGGTTTCTGACTCTCTGAAGCTGCTCGACAGTATCCCTGATGCACGGATACGCTTCCATTTGCACCGATTGTCTGGCTCCGTGTGCCGCGTTGAACACGTGTATCGGCTCACTCCACCCCGCCTTTCCCTGGCGTCAGCCCTTCGGTTTGATGAAGATCAACGTGCGGCATACTCTCGATTCAATAATGTTCCGCTCTCCTCGTCTATATGTGTACAAATTGGGCTCCCATTTCGTCACGGTGGTCATGGGTTCACGCCGTTAGCTCCTTTTGTGCACGCCTCGCACGCCGCTAGCCTCCTCGAAGCTGCCCCGATACGAATAGACGGGCCCTCAAACCCAAGTGTTTCATTCTATCGTTCGATGGCTCGCAAGCATCTGGTGCATGTGCTTGCGTCACTGAACCCCGAGGTCCGAACTCGAGGCATCCTCTCCACTTACTCCGACTTGGGCCCCTTCGAACCAGAAGCTTTATTGAGTCGACCTGAACGAGTACACTTTACCCTATCTCAGGCACTCCACGGAGCTTTCTCGAGGATGTATTGGGAAAAGAGGGCTTGGGATCAACATCCAAATCCTTCTTATCATAGCGCAACTTCAGTCCGCCGACGCGCTCGATATAACTCCCTTCTCGCTCCAGGAGGAGCATCGTTTATCTGCGCCCACCCGTCATTGACTACTAGAGTATCAAGCGCGGTCTGGTCCTGTATGCTCCGACGCCACCTGGACACGCCAGTGTACGACGACTCCCGCTCCCCCCTAACGTGCTCTCACTGCGGCCGTGCAATGGACGCGCGCGGAGACCACGCCGCCAATTGCAAGCATGGGTACGGCGTCGTACATCGCCACAATATTGTCAGAAACACTCTTGCCCGATTTGCGTTCCGAGCAGCAGGCCTGGCCTGCGACCGTGAGGTCCCGTTCCTCACACCAGGGACTGCACATCGCCCTGCAGATATCCTTGTGCAACCGGCCCCGCCACCCGCCGGAGCACTTCCCGACCGCCCGACCGCCTATGATGTCACGATTCGAAACCCGTATACAGCCGCCAACCTTTCTCTCGCTGCTCGGTCCGTAGCCGGCGCCGCTGATGCCGCGCACACGAGCAAATTGCAGACCCACCAACGCATCATCCGTGCTGCTATGCATCTCGAGTCTGCTGCGCCGCTTCCCGTGCTTGACTGGCATTTCATGCCACTCGCGTTTGATACGCTCGGCGCGTGGAGCGCGCAAACTACAGCTGTCCTTGAAGACGTCGCGCATAAGATTGCTACTCGCACTGGGACTACATATGGCATCGCCAAAACGCGCCTCGCGCAACGCCTCAGCTATGCAATTTGGTCCAGTGTCGCCTCGGCGACGCTTGCCCGCATGCCGCTTCATGGGACGGCTCCTCCCTGTACTGCACAAGTGTAAGCCCTTGACGTCCGCCCGCATGATTCTGCATCGGCCCACCCTAAAATTTGAATAAAATCACCCCCAGACACTACACACTGTACGACACTACGCCGCGATGCCGAAGAAGACGAACGAGTTGCGACCTCCGCCGTTGTCGCCGCCCTCCACCGCTGCCCTCGCCGCGCCGCAGTTGTCGGCGCCGGCGCCCCGCGTCCCACCGCCCACCACCGCAGCCCC